ACAGTTTAGATTGTGCCTTCAAGTCGTTGCCCATAGGAAGATGTTACTTGGATATAACGGAATATCAGCTCCAAATGACACAAAACTAATATGGGTGAGTAGAACATGATGTAATAACGTAAAATCAAGGCCCAATGTAAAAAAAAAAAAAAAAACGGTGTTTCCCTTTAAAAACAGAGTCATGTTTTTAACATCACTCTGAGAGAGGTAGGTAGAGGTAGAGCATTACCGGCCCGATCGGAGGAGAATTTCAGTCCGGATAGACGTTTCACCTTGGCTCTACTTTTCTTATACCTCATCCAACATACTTCTCCTAAGCTATTTCTGCATTTTTGCTTCTACAGGCTTAGACTGCTGGAGGACAAAGGGACTCCTTTCCATCGCTCTCTCTATATTTTCCCATTCTGCTGTATTTACATTACATTAAGTTACATTATCTTAGTGCGTTGAGAAAAGAATAATCTTATTTTAATATAACTTAATTGTTTTTTTTATTATTATTTGTTATCTCAAAGTGGGAAAGCTCAAACTTCTGAGATGATGAGGTCATGTTTTTTCCTATGAACCGAAATATCAAGAATGTGAAATTATGCCTTAGGGAAGAACTCCTTGTAATAATGTCATAATAAATATATTTTATATCTCCTACTAATCTATCATCAACTCTTTTCTTTTGACATCTGCAGTCAATAAAGTCCAACTTATACATTTTCAGGGGGTGAATAAAACTATTCTTTAAACACAAATTTTCTTCTATACCGAATTCAATTTTTCATATTACAATTTATAGATTAGTTTCCATGCCAAGCTGGAACACTGCGTGAGCGCCTGCAGATAATACTGCAGATTATCCACCATGGCCGTTTAATCCTGCATGTCTCAACAAAGCACCTTCACCTGTTTACTTACATGCGTGAATAATTCATCAATCTGGAAATTCTGCTTTTGTACATGCAGTTATTAGGGTGGAGTAAAAAGAAGAAAGCTGTGACACAGTCCTGTTAAAAATGGGACGTACCTGTGTGCCTTTTTTTTTTTAGCAGTTATATACATACGGTAATACAGTAAAACACAACAAACCTGAAGATCCTGAATCTGCTGATAAGTCCATTCCAGCTCTATTTGACTGAAGCGTTTGTGTAGCCGGTACATGAGGATGGGGTCCGACACAGGATGGACTGTGAAGGCATTTTTAAACGTAAGGCTGTCTTCACGCTCCGGATCTGCGTTTTTCCCCAGCTCAAAGTAACGATACATCATCCCCTGTCAGTCACACAGACGATAAAAATGTAGATGGCAACATTTCTCTGTAATGTTTCTGCAAACAATCTGCTGTAGTTACCTGGTGCACCTCCACGCAGCTTAGACCCAAATAGTCGATGATGCAGCGGCCCAGCCACTCATCAGGTCTAACGCTGAGGATGTCATTGCGGCAGGTGTCGAGGTGCGGCTGCAAACGAGCCAGAAGGCTGCGAGACAGGAGGTAGCCGTAGCCCCCGTGGCAGTAACGCGCCTTCTCCTCCCCTCCGATGAACTCCTCAGCCCTGCCCATGTATAGGTCCTGACCCGCACTGAGGTGGCCCACCAGCTCTGAGAGGCGACCCGCCTGCATGTAGGTGTCGTCCTGCGCCAAGAGGAACCAGTCGTACTCTGAGCCGTAGTGCTGATGGAGATGTCGCACCGTCTCGTACATCAGCCACACCGGCCTGTCGTCGCCATGGGCTATCACTGTCATCCCACGGGGCACCTTGGGGCTGTGTAAGCCCGTGAAGAAAAAGGTTCGATGGAAGTGATGGGCGACTGTGCGGTTCACTGCCACGGCTAACGTGTTGAGGGTGGCCCTGGAGGTGAGGACACCCGCCAACAACCGCTCTCTGATGCCCAGTTCAGTGTGGATGTATCTTGTTCTGGTGAAACACAAACAGTATTTTATTGTGGCTGTCTAATAAATACAGATATAAAATTGTGTCCTGCATTTTTATTGAGATATTTTTTGTATTTAAGAGCTTTAAAATCCACCCGGTTGCGGCGACCATTTTTTAAAGCGTTTACGACTAACAACTCAGAAACATTGGTGACACCAAAAGTTCAAAGCCCCACAGCTCTGGAACTGTTATACTTAGAGGTCTGATATTTTCTGCAGTTGTAGTTGACATGATGAAGGACAAATGTAATGCAATGTGACATGCCTATTCCAAAGCATGTTCTCTTTTACTGCTGTTCAAAAAACACCTATTATTTTAAGAAACTAGAAGGTGTTAGCTTTCAATTGATGTATCACAGGTGTAATTTGGGCCTAAAGATCCTCATTTATTTGCTTTTCCATTTGGGTATGCAAAATAGGTGAGGATTACCCAAAATGATTTGTTAAGAGTCCAGAGAGACATGTTTTTTCCCCATTATTCTCTGAAAAAAAAAAATATCTTAGCCTCAGTCAGCTTTTAATGAAGCTTATGGTAAGTCTGCTATTTCTATGCTGCTATAGGCTTAGCTCCTGGAGGACAAAGGGACCACTTTCAACTTCATTGTATTTTTATTCTCCCATTCAAGTTCCCATTTCTAGTTCAACCCCTAACTCTATAGCTCAATTTACACTACCCTCTGAAAACCGATCCGTGCAGAGTTGGGACCGAGCTTGGATCAGTTAACCGTGCTGAGCTTTGTTCATATGACCATTTACACATCACGCTAGCACGATTCCTTAGACAACATTTATTTCTTGTTTTGTACAGCTTTCATAACATTTCCATTCCTTAAAGTGCAGCCTTGCCTCCTTGTGAAAATCTACGGCAATGCTGCTCTCTAAAGGGAAATAGGCAAATCAACATGGTGGCGCCCGTAACATTCAGGAAGTTTGGTTATAGTTGTGATATTTGCCGAGAGTCAGACGAAGAAGGCAGCCTTTGGTGAATTTACTTGACAGTCGACTTTTGCGAAGTGGATACGACAAAACGCAGGAAATCACGACAGACGTTGAGGTTCATCACTGCTAAGCAGAATCATGACTGGAAATCGTGTGGCACAGTAGGGAAGCTAGTATTTTCATGAATGCCTGAAATGTTATGATTATGGAGGCTGACTGTAAGGAGATGATGTGGTCTGCTGATGCGCTCTTTGTTATCTGAGAACTGAGCCAGAACTGAAACACGCCAAGCCCTACTAATGAGCTAGTACCAGTTTAGCGTGGTTCGGTTGTGTCTGACACGGTCCAGTTCAGTTTTGCGTGCCATTTACATTTTAAAGTTATCTTGGTTACTGTGTTCGGACAGATCTCGGCACGGTTTAAAAAGGTAGTTTAAATGGGGCTAATGTTCTCTCTGCTTTTTCTCATAGTAGATTCATCTAAAAAGACACACTTTTAATAAATGAAAATTTTCCAGATAAATAAATACTTGAAATATAGACAAATAAATACTTTACTGTGCATTTTTATTAAATTCTAAAAGGCAAAACGTAAACAAACCCACATCTATACACCTGTAATTAAATAAATATATAAATAACAAATAGACGCACATATTTAAACATCAAAGCCTTCTAAATAAAAGGTATAGTGGATTAAAATTTTTCAGGTTTGAGTTTTGGGTGAACATCTTTTCCATTGTCATTACTTACCTGCTTTTATCAATAATCGTTCTGCATAAAATTGATATTTACAAGAACTAATATCTATATACCGGTAAATTGATTATTTAATAAGTCATCAGAAACATCATTTTCTCTTTATCCCATAAAACACAAGGTCTATTTCTGAAAAGAGCATGCATTCTTTAATATTAGTATATTGATGTGCATAATTACCCACAGTGTTTCTGTTGTAAAGTAATTGTTAACATATGAAAAATGTTTTGAATATTCCACTTGAGTATTACTGCTGCCACCGTCTGTATTAGAGGGAAATAAATGGTAGGGGTGGTAAGTGATTGGTTAAGGGTGGCTCCCATCTACACTGTATTCCCCAACAGTGCTATAAACTCAATACAATTGCTGAGCTGTACTCAAAGCTGCCATATTGTTCAGGCACCACAAATGTTTTAAGTTCACTCAACTGGTTACCCAGTTATTGATTATTTTGACAAGATTAACTCTTAGTATATGAGNATTTTATCCTTGTCCTCAAAGATTTTGAGCACTAACAAAAGTCTCATTTTAAGTAGAAATTACTTAAAATATTCTTTAACATAGCTAAATATTTTGAGGTTATCAGTTTCATCAAATATTTTGAGTTCATTGAACCTGTTGGGGTTTACAGTGTAGCTCCCCCCCTGCTTTGATGGAAAAATGGTATATATTTTATGTTTATAAATGTTTTTAATTTATTTTTGTAGAGGTTTGTTTTATTAACTAAAGTAGGTTAATCTTTTAGCAGATGGCATGTTGTACAGTCTGTGTACTGTTACTCTAGGTGATAATGTGATAAAGATTATTTTAATAACTAATAAATCAAAATTAATAGAATTTATCATTTCAGACCTTTATTCTTGTATATTTTGTCCCTTTTAATTTAGATGAAGAACAACCTTCTCCGAAGATGTATTAGGTTGTGTCCCATGAGATGCTTTTAACTTTCAAAACTTTCTCCCTGACCCTCCTGCTGTGATCCTTGGTCTTCATGGTGTGTCTATTTCTTTGGATAGGATTTATATTGAGATTAAATAAACACAAACTAATGGACAGACTTGCATGGTGTTTGTAGGGCACAGAATATTGGGACAGATGGACTTCCACTCACCTGAGGACTTTCTTATGTGGTTTAGTTGGATCCTTGTGATATGGCACTATTCTTGGCTGGAAGTCCTCCTCTCCAGCTCCATCTCTCCCTCCTCTGTGAGCCTCTCCTTTACCCAGGAAGAGCCCACCTTCAGCCAGCTCATCTCTGCAGGGGTCCTCCGTGTCCCCTTGCGTCCAGGACACCATCAAAAGACTGAGACTGCATCCCAAAGACAGCCCCAGAATGAGGGGTAAAGCAGGCCTGAACACGGCCAAAAAGGACGAAAGGCGCATGGTTGACAGACAGGAGCTAAACCTGAATATAGCAGCAACTAAGACACATTTTAGAAGATTTTAATCAATTTGCTAAAACAAAACATGCTGGTTCTCCTATAGTTGTTTTCTGTTAAATTAAATTAGGTTTGAACGTGTTAGGCGACTACCTAATAGATTTACACTAATTTACACCATTATAAATGATTTTCTTTTTTTACTGTGTTCCTATCAAGCAAATGTTGCCCACTTTGAGGCAACATCCGAATGCAAATAGTTTAACATCGCCCTAACCGTTCCCTATTAATCTCAACTGGTTTGGTTAATTATTTACATGTTTATCCATCCGTTTAAAAGCAGCCTTATGTTAATTAGCTGCGCTAATTCTAGCTAGGGTTAACGCTAGCAGACAGCGGCAAATAGCACCTTTGGAAGTTTACTTTACGGTAATCCGGTTAGAAAGATGAAAGAAGCGAATTAGAAGCAGTTTTGTCTGAAATTACAGCGTTAAAGAGGAACAAATATGAAGGAGGAAGCTAGCGAGCTAGCATCGCGAGCAGTTAGTGAAGACACGTCGATCCACATCCACGATCCCCGACAGGAAGCTTTTACGACTCTCGATTTAATGATACGACAAAAATACTGATGCAGGCAAAAAGCTCCTCGTCCGTTACATTGTCAGGTTCTTGACTTCCTGAAATAAAATTGTGACACACACTGTTAGTGTGGAAACAGCGTCATTCACTTCGCTTTCAGCCTCATGTTAACTGTCTGTAGAGCAGCTGCTGCAGCATCACCTCTCAGAGGAGGGCTGTCCACAGAGGACTTTATTAAACACACACAATGGCGTCACTAACGGTAGGCTGTAGTAGGAGCTCTGTCACTGACACCTGCTGGGTCCCTTGCGTTAATGTGGACTACGACGTCTATTTGCACAAGTAACGGTGCGAAAAAAAATCTTTTTAACCCACCTGATATTTACGGAAGAGGATTAGGGCCACTGGGAAAAAAAAGTTAACTGTTTTTTAAATTATATTTCAGTTTAACGTGTGAAAAAAGTTAGACTTTTTTCTCAGAATTCTGATTTTTTTCTCAGAATTCTGACTTTAATCTCAGAATTCTGACTTTTTTTCCTCAAAATTCTGACT